GAATCTCCTATGCCTATTATCCCTTAAGCAAAGCAAAACATAGTTTTTTAACCCTGTCCTGGTTATAGGTTTAACAACTATTTGGATTAGACCAATGTGTATATAGTTAAAATCTTTTCTTTCATGCTCTTCAACCATAATTGAGGATAAGAGTTGGAAACTATCTCGAGTTTCCATGACTGAAATAGTTTTCTCAATAGTTTTAATCGAGAGACTACTTTTAAAATCAAAAGTCCCCCTTTTATAAACATTTGTCATAGGAACCTTTGGGATATTTCAATTTTCGATTTGTTGTTCGATATTATCAATAATAACTTCTTCTTTATTATTAACAAAGAGTGTGCTGGTAGAAGCTGTCCAACTGGATAGTGGTAGGAACAAAATTGTCATATTTGATTATATAGTCTTAATCTGAGTCAACTGGAAATAGTCCCTACACCTTTCCTGCCTTCTGGTTTAACGGTGATCTTTGGGTCACAGGGACTTTACATTTGACTATAACATATATATTTGCAAAGTTAATCAGTTCACCATTGAATAGAACCAGACTGTGATAGTTTAAGTTTTGTTTTGAACCTTTTTTATGATGTCTTGGAAACTATATTATTCTCTTGTTGGTATGAGAGAAGGTTTTGGAGTAGTAGGCCTAAATGGATCTTTTCCATGTTGATATATTGAACCAAGACTTCCTTTTTAGCCTCTGGGTCACTGATTTTATCAATTTGGTCAATGATCAAACTTTCATCTTTTGTAAGAGTATTTAGGATTAGACAATTCACATCAATGATAGCCTTGTAGAAATTACATTGGCAGGTATTTCCAGGATTATCATCATCATTTGAATTAGAGTCAGAGCTAGTGAGGACCAGATCCTCATCATTTATTTCACCAATTAAAATTTCTTCATCAAAGTTAGAAGAACTATCAGAATCATCTCCATTTACTAATAGAATATCAAATAATTATTTTTCGATATTTTCATCGATTTCGAGTGTATTGATTTTGTTTTTAACTTTGCATTTATTTTTATAATGACCTACATTTTCGCAGTTATAACATAGATGTATTTTTCTTTTTCCCTTTTGTTTAAAAGAGTGGTCTTGCATAAATTTCTTAGGAAATTTTTGGTTTCTTTTCTGTGATTGTTTAAATTTTGCCTTATTTTAATTCTTATATTTTTCTTTATGAGAGGATTTAAAAACGGGTAAAGTATTATACCCAAACTGTTCACAAAAGTCTCATAGTTCTTTCTTTCATTTTACTCTTTGTTTTTCTAATTGTCTCTGGGGTTTTAGGTCTGTGCACAAAGCAAGACCTTCAACGCATATTTCTGCTAATAACTGTCCAAGGGTATAATGAGAATAGGGAATAATTCTGCAATCTTTATTTTTCAGCCGTGTTTTAACCTTTTCAGCAAAAAGATGAGGAAGACCAGCTATGAATTTTTCCTTCTAATAATCAGCCTTACTGTCTTCCCCAGACAATAATATAGAGTAGAAAACATCTTTATACCATTTAAAATGAGAAAGTGTTGGGCAACATAAATTTGAAAGTAGATCTTCAGACCTGGTAGCTAAAAGAGCCGTACTTCCAACAAAGTGAAGGGTGATAGTGTAGATCAGTGTATTAACTGCATCACTTTCATCAACTACTATTTCCTGGACCTGTCCAGGGCCAACTTCAGTTTTAATAAGCCATTGTTTAGTAACATTTAGGATTTTATCTTTTGCAGTTTTATCCATATGAAAATCCCACCATCCTTGAAGCCATCCTGTAAAGCTACATATGATAACTTTGGCAATTTCATGATCTTTATTTCCACTTGCTTTACAAGCGGTGGCATATATTGTTATGTGTTCCATAAGATCAAGGATTTGGCTTTCAAACATGCCATATATATTCCAATTTACAATTGACTTTCCTGAATAGCGTACAAAACTAGAAATGAGATCTTCTATTTGAAGATCGACAGGAGTGGGTCGAAGATAATACATTCTAGTTTGGCAAACTGGATTAGTTTTTCTCCCATAGTCTATTATGTTAAGATCCAAGCTTTCTATTTTAAAAGTATTTTCTATTTCAGAAATTTCCTGGTTTGTGTAATTCTGATTTTTTTGTAGGACTTGTAACTCATCGATAAGAGGTTTTCCCTTATCATTCAAACTTAGTTTTGCAAGTCTTTTGACAAGCTCATCAGCTAATTCTTTATTATCTTTTTTTTTTCTTTATTCCTTGTAGATTGAATTTTCTTGTTTTTAGGGTTTGAATAACACTGCTTCCTTCTGATTTCTTTTTTCTTTTCTTATCGTACAGATTTTAAATTATTCAAGATATTTTCGATTCTAGTGGTTTGTTTTCCTATTGTTTGTAGGAAGATATTTGTGTAATTATTTTGTTCTATGATATGTGGTATTCCCTCTATTTTGGCCATATGATTTTCAGATTCCTTAGGCCAAAACTTAAATGGTGAAACTTTAGTTTCAAGCTTTTCTCTTTTAATTGTAAACTCGTTTCTGGGAGATGGATAGATTCGACAGTCTCGCCTTTAATAGTGTGAAAAGTCTGAAAGGCCTTTTCAACCATATTTATTTTAAACTCTGAAAGCGTAATTCCTTTTATTTTGAAAATATACTTAAGTCATTTAAAGAATTTTACATTCCTTCTATATTGAATCATAAATTTATTAAATTTTTTATGACAGGCATCCCTTAATTCTTCTTTAATTTCTTGGAAAAATCATTCCCTTATTTATCTATTTTTTTCTGAAAGGAAATCTCTTTTAATCAATTCTTTATCAATGACAAACTCGTCTTGACTCTTGATTGTAAGAAGAACAAAGTCAAAGTCTGATAGGGGTTGGCTCTTCTAGATCAGTTTGAGAAGGACTAGAAGTGTTAACTCTATATACTGGATGCTGGACTTGATTTGAAGCCTTTCTAAGTCCTTCTAAGATTATTCTTTCATTATGAGATTTTTTACAATCTGATTGAGGAATAGAAGAGGTTGAGGTTCGTGGCAGATTTATGGGAAGTGGCTCTCCAAATTTCAGATCATTCCGATTAG